ATGCATATATGTATGCATATATATGTATGAGTGTATGTATGTGTACAATCCAACATAGACATAGATTGCCATTGGATTTGTTTAATAAACCATTTCCGCTGTGATTTAACCCACATGCCCCAAACCCATGGTTGGTTGCCAATGGCCGCCTCCCCACCTCATCTCCAAACATAATTAGCTGCACGTGTGTCTGTGTGGATCCATCGCTGTTTGTCTTTGAGGACCGTGGCTACCGAGCAGCTCAATTATGCCAGCTTGAGTGTGAAAATTCATGCAGGGGTCCAGCACCCGCATGCTGACCTCAAATGTGCATCACTCCTAGGCGCAAGAGTAGAGATGGGCGCGTGACGAATAGTTGGTTGACGGCACTCACGCGTGCAATAGAAGAATGAAGGAAGAAGATTGCAAAATGTCATTATGTCATAGGAGTGGGTTAATCATTGTTAACAGTTAACAGATTTTATTTATTTGTATTTACAAAAGAATGAAGAAAGAATATTGCAAAATTTCGTAAGAGTGGATTACTCATTGCATTTTTTAATTGCCTTTAGAAACGTTGCTAGAAATAAATAGAGTTTATTTGTATGTATTTATTTATTTTTAAATTGTTTTTGCTTGGGTATCGTTTATTTTAAGCATTAGTTTAAGTTTTTATTTTATAATCACCATGTTCAATCGTTTCTTGACTTTCTCAATTGTCTGTCATTAAATCAAATAAAATTTTAAAGTGAACAATTTAGTTAATCGAATATAGTTAGAGTATAGTTAGTTAGATTCTTAATTAGATTTTTAAACTACCCATTTAGTAAATCTTCACGAAGTAACTATAGAAATCAATTTTTACTTAACTTTTACAGGCGACGAAAGGCGACTTGAAAATTTCAGAATATTCATAATGATGGAAATGGAAGCAACAAAAATAACTTAGCACTTATAATTGCCAATGTGTAAGTACTATATACCTTTAATTGTATATTTAAAAGCATTTCCGCGTATTTCTTATTTTTAATACTGTTTTTATGGTTTTTTTTTAAATTTTTATTAAAATTTTGAAGTTGAAAAAGGAAGATGGTTTTGGCGCTTTGATTTTTTACATATTTGTTTTTAAAAGTTGGTGAATTCCAGTTTTCTTCTCTTATGATATTGACAGCTTTATTTTTTTAAATTACACCTTCCAGAATAAACTATATCGTTAAAAAATTTTATTTGTTCTATATATATTTTATGATATACAAAGGACAAAGGTATGGCGAGGGCAGAAATTAAACTTTTAAAAGTGTCTTAAAATTATGTTAAGCACCTCATGTATTGGTTGCACCCATTTTTATTATAATCACGCAGCACGCTTCCATTACTGCCCATCTCTAGGCTGATAGCAGTGTCTATTACTGGGGCAGCTACTGCGATGGCTACGCCTGCTGATTTGACGATGTTTGATGAGCTGTGTCCAGAAGGGCTTTTCAGGTGGTGAGCTGTCGTCTCTGGACCGCTTTTGTGCTGCTGTCGATAGGAAGTGCCGCTTCCTTTTCTGCTGATGATGCTGCCAATGCTGCTGATGCGTTCTTTAAGTTTCATTGGAGTGGCATTTTTCGCGTATACGAGTATTGCGTAAAATTAGCTTGAAATTTGCTTTTGCTGCCAAGTTGTTGCACTTATTTTTTCCTTCGCTTATTGTGCGCCTTTGATGATTGATTGCTGGCCGCCTGTTTGCTGCCTGCTTGACGCATTCACCGATCGATCGATCGAACCATTGCATTGCCGCAGAATTGGTTCAATGGGCTGAGTGAGCGGCTTGGCTTGGCTTTTGCGGCTTCGTTTGGTATTTCTTTTTGCAAAAGCCGACAAAGTGCGAGCCAGAAGAAACAATTCCACATAACTATGTCATTTAAAGGCATTGCTGGCATGAAGTTTTAAGTGGCTGGGCAGGTTGCCTGTACAGGCACTTGAAGCCGTCGAAAGGTTTGTCTGGTCTTGGGCTGGGGTCCAACACCCTGAATACATATAATCAATCAATGCGAGCTTGCAGTTTTCCCTTCGTTAAGTAGACGAATGTGCGTACCCATATCGTGACTTCCACCGGAAAATTTCTGCTTCCGTTCTTTGTTTTTTTTTTTGTTTTCTTTTTTTTTTTTTGTTGCTGCCGTTTCTTGCGCAGTTGCACGCGGTGGCAAATAAATTACAATTAAGTGCAACAAACATGCAACAATTATGCACTGTGAAGCTCACCGGATGTTTATTATCAACAACATCGCGGCAAACCAAGCGACAACATCCATTAGTTAGTCCCCAACTCGCAGCAGCCAATCATTCTGCGGCCCTTTGCTGCTCTGCGACCCTAACTAACTTCATTACAATGCCCATCTCTCTTGGTTACTTCCCCAAAACAGTGCCGGTGCGATCATGTTAATACGGAAGTGGGTCATTTTCCAAACGCCAATGTGCAGGGCTGCCAGCGAAAGCGTGTGCCCAAGTCTGAAGCGTCACAGAGTTGAAAATTATAATGGTACTCCTATATGCGAGTGGAATACACTCATACATATATTTAATTATATAAAAATGAAACCGAAAATATACTGAACTACTCGTATGAGGAAGACAGACATTGGGCGACTATACCAGCAGTAGGCAGTAGGAAAAATAATCGGCAGTGAGAAACAACAAAGAGATGATGAGAAATTATCGCTTGGAACTTGTGGGAACAGAGAAAATTGAGCAAAAATGCGGAACTGTAATCGTTTTGACATAATTACATACATGCTAATTATTTTTTTTAAATAATTCCATAGACATTTGAATAATTTCTCAGACAAAATATAAATACATTTTAGAAATATGCAATTTATAATGTTCCATCTGAAATGGTTGTACAAAGTTCTACAAAATATAAATATTCTATTTACATTAATGTTTTATTTATGTTGAAATTATAAAACAATGTCATATAATTTCGCAGACAGATAGATAGACTGCCGACAAAGATGAACAAATTCAAATTACTTTGCTTAATAATCTAAATAGGAAAGCACTATATTTGGGGGAATGTTATTTGCCATTAGTTAGAGACGTAAAAATCAAAAAAGAAAATTATCAAATAGCAAAATGGAGGGTTAATTGGTTAATTATTTATCTCAAAAAAAAAACCTAATAATCTCCGAAACAGAGAACCCCCGATTATTTCAAGTCAGCTTTATAAAGCATTATTCATTTTGCAAAGTACTGTCTAGTAAATATAATGTTTTCTATATCTCCACCTTTTTTCACCCCACTCTTTTTCAAGGAATTTTCTCAATATTTGTATATTCTTGGTTTGGCTGACTTTTTTTTTATATTTAAAATTTGGCGACGTGACAGTCACGCACTGAATGTCATATAATCGGAACAAATGTATTTATAGAATTGGTTGATTTTCTATAGTATTATTATGTTGGCAGAACTAATGCCGTAGCATTGGATTTACCTACTGTTATGAAATTGTCGACATCTATAAATACGAGTTGGCTTGCGGATTCTCGTAACACAGTTCGGGAAAGTCAATTGTGAAGGATGAAGCACCTATTATTGTGCTCAGTTGGGCTGTGTAAGTAATGTTTGATTGTTTTTCAATGGCTAGGAAATTATATGTCGTTTAGTATTAGTGTGCAGCGTGTTTGGCTACGTCAGCGCACAGGCACCGCCACCGGGGCCACCACCTCCCGATCTAGCACCACCACCGGGGCCACCACCTCCCGATCTAGCACCACCACCAGGGCCACCTCCTCCAGAACTAGGTGTCCGACCTGTATACCCCATGGACATCTGGAATGAACGGAGACAGTCAAGTGGTTCGTCTAACATCAATTCGGAAACCTCTGCACAAACCCAATCAATAATAAGGGTGCTGAGGGCCAGACTTTTAAGTCTTCAGAGAGAAGTGGTATCTCAGGTTGATAATTCAAAATTTTTGAAATCGAAACTGCAGGCTGCCTATATGGACTATGGAAAAATGAGGGCAGAAAACAGAACTTTGACTGAACAGCTTCGGACAGAAAATCGAAGAGTCTTCGATAACATTATCAAGCTGCAGCGTGTGAATTATCAATTGCAACAATGTGGCGGTTCTACCAGAATCAATGCTGAAACTGGAATACGTGATAGAGCTCGGCTTGAAGCCCAGCGGCGGGTATTACGAATAAGTAATTCACGAACTCAGGGCTTCTATTTGATGAGATATATGTATCTTCTTGACGTTGTGCGAGGGATACTCGATAAAGAGTTAAGATCTGCACGATATGATGCGGACAGTGCCGTTCTAGGAGTGGCTTATTGATTGCAACCACAAATCAAGAGCTGGGCGCGCATAAAAGAGTTGCAGTTGCAATAATTTAAAATGTTTTGTCGCTTGTTTTGTTCTTTGAACTTCAAATATGTATATAATCAATAAAGAGTGTCACAAATATAGCGTCAAATATTGGCTTCTATACATACATATACATAATAATAATTTAATACATAAATTGCATTCTTCTTAATAGTAATATTTTTGGAAATTTTCATTTAATTTTGAAACGACGAGCATGCATCGTGCTTTCAATGTCAGATTTAAGTTTGCTCCTTCTATACAGTCTTCAGGAATACTTAAATTTGATCGATTTTTTTATCATCATTATTTCTGTTCTTATTTGTGTGGGATTGTCTGAAATATAATCGTCCTCATACTATGATATTTAGTTGAATTCGTCCTTCTACACTTTAGTTTTTAGACAGTGAAATTTATTATTGTCTATAAAAGAACAGATTTTAAATGAAGAAAACCTCTTTTTACAAATTTATATTATTTTGACCTTGTCAGATATTATATAACCAGATCTTTAGATGGAAATATTAGACATTATATAAGCAGACCTTTTAGACAGCTTAATGTCAGAAGTCAAGCAGTACTAATGCGATTTTGAAATGGTGCTGTGCAAATGATATATAATAAGCAATACTCATCCCGAATAATGTCAGAAGTCAAACAGAACTAATATCAGACCGTTGCATAAGACTCAACATCCATATTTATTGGGCGTGTTTTCTGGCCCAGTGGTCAGTTTTGAAGCAGCTTCCAGCTTGGGCCGTTCAAGATGAAGACATTGTTTCTCATTTTCTCAGCAGTTCGTAAGTTGAATGCAAACAAATATTACTAAATATTAAAATCAAATTCTTAATATTCTTAATATTTTCCTTAATATTTGGCAAACAACCAACAGTAATGCTTTGCACGGTTTATGCCCAAAATTCCGATCTCTCCAAATCCAATGATGTATTGTTAAAATCCAGACCAAATCGGCCCTATCGACCTATACGACCAGATCTGAGCGATGAGCGACCAGGACGTCTAGGATCCAGTAGTGGAAGCAGTTCGGCGGCGATCGGAAACGATGGAAGAGACGCTAGAAAGCCCGCCATTGCATTAGTAAACATATTAAATGCAATTAAGAGACCCATTTGGAATAGGCCATCTGAGCAGCGCATCAAGAAAATCTTTCTGACAAGGTACATGAACCTCCTCGAAGATATTCGAGATATATTGAATGAAGAGACAAGGGCCGCCCAGCTAATTGCGCAACAAGCTGCTCTAAAATTGCCGTCTGTAGAATAGAGTTTTAAAACTGTGCATACAAGCAAGCATTTTAAAAAGTGCCGCTCTTTGTGTTTCAAATACCATTCTATGTCTTTTAATGATTAATAAATGAAACACAAATAATGCGTCAATTTTTGGTTTTAATCGGATCCGATCAGATTGTGAAGGATTGAAAATCCAGCAAGAGAACTCAACTTGTCTTTTCTACAAGTAAATCGAACCATGCGCCCCAAATGCAGATTTAGGAAGAGTGGGGCAAAGGGTGGAAGAATATACTGTTATTAAAACTGCTTTTAATGGAATGTCTTGAACGACAAAATAGAGTACCAAATTCGAGGCACAGCGATCTCAGAACATTTTAAAATTAAATTCGTTCTGGTTAAAAACAAGTTCCTCATAACCACATATGTATATTGCGATTGAGGATAATCGAAAAAAAAAAATCACATTTGTACACCTTTTAGAGCGGTATTTTAATAAGCTGCAATGATATTTGAAGTGAATTGATTGGGAAATAATGATTTGACACCAAATTCGTCCCTGACTTGAGGGTTGAATTTTCCCAAAATGCATACTCTTCTTATACTTTACTTGCATATGTATTATATGTATCAATGGCCCTCAGATTACATAACCGCTGAAAGAAATGATTACGTGCTGGATACGGATATATATATATATGTCAAAAGTCGAGCACAACTAATGTCAGACTGTTCCACATTACGATACGTAATCGTTAACTGCCATATTTATGAGGCCTGAGCTCAGACATTTTGCGCAGTTGTCAAGCAGCCTTCATCAGAATCGCCATTAAGATGAAGCTTTTGGTGCTTATCTTAACTGCAATTTGTAAGTGAGACAAAGACATCATCTAACTATACTAAATCTTACATATATATAACTAACTATTTGATAATCGATCAACAGTATTGCTGTGTTATGTCAATGCCCAAGATGGCAATCGTCTTCTATCGCCAATTGACCGATTTACGGGCAAGGGGCCAATTGGTTTGGTAGTCTCAGACAGGAAGCCACCAGCCAGTGATCCAATTGACCGATTTACGGGCAAGGGGCCAATTGGTTTGGCAGCCGCAGACAGGGAGCCACCAGCCAGTGATCCAAAACGTCTAAGACTCTTCCTGCAACAGAAAATCGCCAGGGCTGAGGGTGTACTATTTACATTGTCACGGGATGTCAGAAGGATCAGAACCAAATTGGGTGAGGTACTCGATGATCAGACTAGACTGCACAAGGGTCTCGAGGTATCCAGATCAGCTGTGAAGGAAGCAAAATCGAAGAATTTACGAGTTTTATTAAGATATAACCGGGCACTTGCGCAATTAGAGGATTGCAAGCGTACGAGGCCTGGTCGTATCGTAGGAATGATTGAGAAACTGCGAGAATTTGAAAAGGTCAATGATGCCAGAGTCAAACTAATGTATCTGTCCAGATACCTTAATATGATGAGAGATATACGGGAGCATGTCAATAGAGAGAAAAGGTTCGCAGCAGGGTTAACGGACCTCAAAATTGGCGGTTTATTTATTTAAAAAACCATCGCTGTGTGTCTAAGAAAGTTGCCGTAGTCGCAAGCATTCTAAAAAGTGTCGCTCATTTTGTGCTCTAAGTAAACCATAAATTGTATAAAATTTTCAATAAAGAGAACACACAGCGTCAAAATAGCGTCAAAAAGGGATCTTACAACTTAAATAAAGCCACCCACATTCGAATGGAGAGCGAGGCTATGTCTCTGGCACAGTTCGAGGGCCAAGCTCATCATTTGCACACAAAGTTGTCAAGCTGAGCAAAATAATAGAAAAAGTATTACAATTAAGGGAATTTGTGTGCAAACAGTCTGTGTGCCTGATCTCAAGTTCGTAGCATTTGTAAAATCAAAAGTTGCATTCGATATTCTAGTCGCATAAAAGGTGTTATTCAGAATACGATTAGGAATATCAAAAGTAGTTTGTGGAAATGTCACAAGTCAACTGGAGCTAATGGTTAGGCGTTGCACAATTTCTACGTTTCTTTCCTTCTTATATAAGACATGGAACCTAATAGGCCGTGAGTGCAAATTTCACACACATCGGAAATAGATATAGTCTGCCTCAGCTCCATCATAATGCCAGGTGTCAACCAGAACTGATTTCCGAACATTTCACATAATAACGAGGCTGTTTTTCAAAAAGCATTCATCACTTTCGCAGAAGCTGTAAGGGGAGTCGTTTAAAATGAAACCCTCACTGATCATCTTAACCACAATTTGTAAGTTATATAAAGCCAATGCATTTCTTTATTATTTATTGAAAACTTTTTGGCAACAGTGACGTCATGCTATGTAGTCACTAGTAAAGATTTGATAGAGTATTCAAATGTAGTGAAGTCAATTTCCATTGGCGACCTACAAAACAAGATCAAAGCCGTAATTCCCACTCTAGATGAAATTAAACGTAAAAATGAATTATTGGAGCAGCAATTGAAAAAAGCCAATAAAGAGCTTTTTTCTGTAAGAACTGCAACTGCAAAGCTGCAAGAAGCAATCGATAAGGCTAAGATAGATCAAGATCGCCTTCAATTGCAATTGGCAGCTGGACGCAAGCTTTGGTTGCAGTGCGATACGGATTTCAAATTGTCCGAACGAAATATATATGTCCTCACCGCAGATGAGGTGAAAAAACAACTAGAAGAGCATTACATTCCCGAAGCGTTGCGAGGCTTCAAATATCATGAATACCTAAAAATTGTGAAGTGGCTGCGTAATGCAATCATAATAGAAGGAAGGGATGGTCTCAAGAAGCTGGAAACTACCCCAAAAAAATCAATATTGATGCCAAATATTCCAAGGATACCTGCCCAAATATAGTGCGACTACAGAAAAATAAAAATCAATCAAAAAACAGCATATAATTTTATATGTATCAAATTTTTTGATTCAAGATTAATTCTAAGTTACAAATGTTAAAATAAATAAACAAACAATAAAAATCAATCGAGTTACTTACGCTTCATGGCTCGGACAACGTGCTAAAACAAATGCATTTGAAAAACAGTTTGGCTTGACAGATTGATAACAGATTTTTGAAAAACTTAAGTTCTAAGCACTGCTTTTTATTATATACGAGTTTACTATGTACTGTAGAGGGAATTATTAAAGCATGCGCAATACATATTTGATTTTGATTTGGCTCAAAATATTAATAATACAATTAAAGATATATTTAAATATACAAATATTAAGTGAGTCTGAGAGTCTGTGAGTGTTGTCTTTTACTTATTTTTTTTTAGTCAGCATTTGCCTTTGGCAGTTGACTTTTGGGCACTCGGTTATATCAGTACACTCGGAAGAATTCTGAAGCAGCTCCAAGAAAGTTATAATTACAAGTTATAAGACAATTTGAAGAGCATTAATGGTAAGTGGGAACGCACGCGCCTCTCGTCCATTAGTTCCGATTTGTTGAGCCAAAGGCAGCAGACGGACATTTTGCGCAAACTTAACGGTTGCGTAAGAAAGAATAGGCAGGTCTGCTAAATATATATATTTTGCATACTATAGCGTCTGCTAGTTGACCAGTGTATATGTTTCAAGCATTCAATGAACACTTTGACGCAATCAGCGGGTTGCCTTTGAACGCATTCTTCTACCTGCTGGCTACCTGTTGTCTGTTGTAGTACCTGTTCAGATTTTTGGTCGAGTTGAAGGTATGCGCCGAGCCTGTCTTAACTGGAAATCGTTTAGGGTCAAAAGTGTCGCATTTCATGAGTTTTAAATGGGTCTCTGCGAGTGGCGACGAGTCGGAGCGGCATTGCTTGAAAGCATCCCTCGCGACAGATTTATGAATACTTTCAGTTTTGGTCATCGCTGGCTAGTAAGCTCTCTAATTTATGGCCCGTATATGGGAAAGGGTACTTTGTTTGCTCTACATTTCTCGTTTTCATTAGTTTTATTGCTGGCTATTGAAATTGATAGTGATACGACTAGTTCTTAAGCCTTTCCCGAACAGGCGCTCCAGTGTGGACCGCCCGTTGCAACGTTGAAGCAAACAAATCCACCTGAGTGTACGTAGTTTTGGTATTTTTGTTGTGAATAGTGAAATCTCTTGTGCAATCGTATGTTGAGCAAAATGAGAGCATTTTTCTAGAATGTGCTGGTAGAAACGTATGGCTTCGTTCTATTCTTTTATTTTCGGAACCAATGCCTATAACTATTTTCAAGAGTAGTTCAGTACTTATTGATAATAATTATCTGCAAAAAATGCTCTGCAAATTATATTTATTAATGTAATAAACGTTAAATATAATAAATATAATAAATTATAAATTAATTATAAAACAGATATTCTTACATCCCATCATATAATATAATAAATTATAAATGAATTATAAAACATACATTCTTACATCCCATTAAATCAGATTATTTTCTGACTGCAATCACTTAGAAAACACACAAAAACAAAAAGGTTCACATTCTAGAACAACAATTCTTTAACCTCTTTTGCAGTCCGACAGCCCCAAACATTAATTAAATTCATAAATTCATATAAATCTGCAAGCTTATTAGAGTTCTCATCTATATTATAATGTTAGAGAGTCGCGTGCCTTTATATTGCACAGTAAATATATATGTATGTATGTACTATATATATGTAGTACATACTATATGCTCGTATGTTTGGGATCCCAAGAAAGTAGTCAGTGTATTCAACTCTGCCACATCTTGTGGGCAGACAGTCGCATACGCATAATTTCCATCGGCCACATTAAAGAAATTCGTCACGTAGTCCGCCATAAAGCCATACAAAAATAAAATTCATAAAACGAATTATAGGCACATGCAACACATATAAATATATATTTATATTTAAGGCACATGAAATTTCTTCAAGTTGAAAGCAAGAACAAGAAAAAAAGAACATGCAAAAAGAAAAAAAACTGACAAATCTTTCACATATCGGCCGCCGCATCAGCAATATCTTCGAGTCAACAACACCCCCAATCGGTGGTCACATTATCAGCTTTACGACTTGGCGATGTGTCAAAAAAAAAAAAGAAAAGAAAAGTGATATGTGTACGTTGTGTTGTGGGCCACGCGCCTATCAAAACTTCCGCCTTCGCCACTTCTATAAACTGATGACAGGGCAGAGGAGATAATGTCTGTTTTTGTACACCGAAGACTACATACGCTTCCAGGTCTCTTATATTCGATAATAAGAGTGTATGCTTTGATGAGGCATCATGAACATCGACTGCCATCGATTTTTTTTTTTTTTAAATATAGAAAGAAGTGTTTTCTGAAATGGTGCACGAAATAAAAGATATGAAATAAGTTAATCAATTAATAATCTGTGTAGTACATGAGTGAAATCTTATGATATGCAAATGCTGTATATTTATGTAGATACCTAATAGATGCTTAATATTCGAGTTACCAAAAACTATAAGAGCTATCTGATATGATGGTCAGTAGTTTCTTAATAGGAATGCCATATCATAGTAAAATTTAAAATAACTGGAGTACTGGAAATTGAATGGAAAAAATAATAAATCCTCAGCCTTGGTTAGACATGAAAACAATTTGCACTCAGCTTTGTCGAGTTTTTATTTGAATAGCAATTATATATGTGAATTATATATTTTTAATATTATAATATTTTTAAGACACTTTACTTATCGACATACACACTCGTACTACAATTTGAATGTGTTTTGATTCGAAATCAATAGGTTATAATACATTTATAATTAGCCTTTAAAACTTTTTGCTTTTATAGGCATTGGTTGGAGAATATTATTTATTTATCATAGTAAGCCATTAGTTTATTGAGGCACGGCTTTTGATCGAAAAGCCTTCAAAGATTCTCAGCGATGCACAAAAGCACAATTACGATTTAAGATTAAAACAAATTAATATTTTAAAACATTTCAAAGGCAGGGATTATTCAGCTTAGATATGTATTCTAGTTAGCTATATCCACTCAGCTGTAACCGCTTTATTATTTGTAACATGAATGAAAGCAAAACCAATATACCCTTTATGAATTTATGAGTATGTGTACTATATTTATTATTGGCAGCTCCAATATATACAAGCATAATGATAATAATTTGCACTTGCCACAATCATATTTTCAATTGTCAATTGTTTAGATATGCGATAGCTGTGCATATTTATTTAAGGGGCACCCTTATCTATCGCTCGACCAGCCCCACAGGAACTGCCGGCTTATCTGAGTCGCACACACAATTTACTCAAAATGGCTGGCTTTGTGTGTAAAAGTTTCTGCATATGTTTATTGTTAAATTTGCATGGCAGGCACAAAACACAATGAATTATGTCTGTATTAGTATTTTGATCGAGATAAGTGGCACACGTGTCCACAAAAGGGTTCATCCTGCTTATCTTTCTGCTTATTTTGGCCTTAATTCGATTCGTCTCATGCAGCTAAGCAAACAGTTCTGTGAGTTATGTGTGCAAATATTTAAATTTCCCACAAAGAATTTTATTGTTGGCAGCCAGCAAAGCAGAGCCAAGCAAAGCATAGCTATGTTTACAATTTATAACGGTATTTTATGTACATATATATCTAGTTTTCCATCCACTCTAGAAGTATGTACTCAAATGCCATTGAACCGGCATAAAAATGGCTTAGTGGTCTAGTTTATGGCTAAATAAAACAAATTTCTATGCAAACTAGAGGCGGTTATGTATATGGAATATATAGGCTTATATTTAAAGTATTGTATTAGCATTTATGTCAACTATCAAAAAGACGAATGTACAATTGTTTAATTATAGTAAGACTAGAATTAAAGCTGCGTGTTAATCTTAGGCTTTTGAGATCTGAAACTGAAGCCTTTGATTAAAAATTTAAGAGGACTAAGAAGAGCTGTAAAATGACACCAAAATATATTTATTTTAATTAGTTACAGCTCTAGTTGATTTATTTGAATTTTTGTTAGTTTTTCTATTATTTATTTCAACGATTTTCCAGTCTTACTGAAATAATAAACAAAACAAAAATTTTTTAAACAAAAGTAAATCAAAAATGCATAAATATCGAAATAATTTGCATTGTTTCCAAAGTTATATTCCCGCTGGACCTGTGCTTCTGCAACTTCTTAACAGACAGACGGGATTTTATGTATGTTTTTATTGCTGGCAATTAAACTTGGCAAATCTTATTTGTTTTATAATAATACAAGTACACACTGTTCGTTTGCATGTGGGTGTCTGTTTGCATGTATATTTTTCCCATGGCACTCAAGCTAATATTTGTAAGGCTCGACAAAAGAAAAACAACAAATTAAGTGCAAAGCTTGAGGCAAACACAAATAATCAGTCTGTATACTAAGTATAGCACAGCTTTATCATGTTCTAGGTTTGGAGATATGTTTGACTGAGCTGTAGGAATAATAATAATAAACATTAACATTAAAGCAAACAGGCACGAAAAACAAATAGCCCTAGACTTGCTTTCCTTCTACTCCTACTTCTTACTCACTATCTGTGTTCTGTGGGCCTGCATGTCGTATTTGTCTTTGTCTTTGTTTTTGTCACTCAGTTGGTGCTGCCCATCAAGTGAGGCAGTTGTTCGGACAGCTGCAAGGGGCATGCAACATCGCCGCTTGAGTTAAAATATTTTTAAATAAACAATAAATGGAAATGAGTTTTTTGTTAGGAGTGCAGGCAATTTGTCGCCAATGCGATTTTCCATTCATAAAAGTCACTTCAGCCGCTACAAAGTCGCCGCAGGATATTTTTGCGCAAAGGATGCGGCAATTGTTCGCTCGTTTTTCAGCAACACGCAGCACACACGCACACATACTCGTACACAAAAGGTACATTTCCGTTTCCTGTCCTGCGGCGCATCGAATGCGCTTTAATTTCCATTGTCATTTAGTTGAGTTGAGCAGCATTGATACAAAAGTCATTTGAAAGTGTTCGGACTCTACGCCCTTAAGTAGTTGGCACTCAG